CTCCAGTGATTCCGAGTTTCATTGTTTTTTTTTTTTAGATTTATATTTGTCACTTTTTTTACCTTTCGAATCTTTCTTCACGAAGTACAGATTGCGTGCCATACTTGTCCGGAAATATCATCGACACGTACGATGGGGACGAAACTTCTTTGGAGGGCATTCCTCCAACGAAATTGGCACTTCATACCTTCGAGTGTGGGTTTGTCCCATCGGCGCTGACACGTGCAGGCGTTACTGGTACGAAAACAAACGCAGAGCGCAAAGCGGCAGTGTAGAATATGTCAGCCGTGCCGACACAGTGGCAGACATGATCGCGAGACCAAATTTCTCACGTCGTACGGCACGGCTCCATCGTTGTCGCTGTCCCAAAAAAACATCGGCGAGGCGAAAAACTGAAAATTTGTCTTCACGAGATACGACGCATAACTATTGAAGCACTTAATGACGCAGCACAGCTTCATGCTGTGAACCCAGCGCTACCGCACCACTCCGACTTCAATGCGTACCAAAGTACGCGGCGTGGTTTCGGTTTCGTTTTCTCTGGGGTTCTCGCTGCCTACCTTCGGTACCGGCCGCGCGGCGGCGCGCCAGTCGCGTCGCACGGAGTGTATAGGCAGAGAGATCTACGGTCACATTGGCCACAACATCGTTTAAACTTTTTATGACTAGGCTTCACCAATATTGCAACGTGCCCTCTCCTATAGTCAGTTACAGGTTAAGAAGGTAGCGGCAAATGCCCCTCAAAGGGAATCGGATATCCCTCCGCCACCTCCGCATCCAATAGCGTCCCACCGTTTCCGTGACGTCGCGGCCAACGCGCAAAGAGGGTCTTGCCTTTCTGTACTTATTTGCTTTATCTTTCGACTTTGACTTAGCATTGTGGAAGCCACGAGAGGGAGATTAGAGTTCTCCCCCACCGACGGAAACAAATACGACTTTCGGGGATTAGCTTCCCCCCCGATGGATACAATGGCTGCTTTCAGGGGCTCGGTTCCCTCTCCGATGAATACAAAGGTCGCTTACTTAAAAAGTGGGATCGGAGACAAGTGGGAATCTATTGAAGCGGAACAAGGAGCGTTTCCAGTGAACTCTTCTTTCGACAGCGGAGAGATTTGAAACGGGCGCATCACACTTGTGGGAGGAGCTTCTCCTACCTTCTTGACTTGTAAACGACTATAGTACTTCTAACCTCCTAGGGGCCGCTCGTTTCTTGGCTGGGCGGTCTCCGTCGGGTGATGGCGGAAGCCGCCACACACGAACTCCCGTTCCGTTTGTGATGAGTCACTGAACGGAAGCTGGAACTCGCTCGCGAGAGCAGCATTGCCGTCCATGTTGACAGATTCGACGAAACGACCGCGCCACCGCGTCACCGCGCTGCTATAACCCACCGCGGTAACCAGAGTCTCGATCTCCTAAATACTACCGATACCGACTATTCACACTTGACGTCCCTCCCTACGTCACCTCCGTTTTCGGAGGCCCAGAAACGAGAATGGAGATTGTTCAGTTTCGGTTTCTTTACTTCTTTGTAGGCACAGAAATACGCGTCGCAAATGTCTACAGAAAATTGGGCAGCATGCCATGTTCCCAAGAAGCATAAACAAACTATTTAAAAAAAACAAAAAAACTAAATAATATCGCCTTCATTGTCCCCTTAAAGGGGCACGGAGGCAAAAATTGAAATATTCAGATTTCGTTCAGAAATGAGTCAAGCATGACGGATAATAACCGTAAATGATAATCGCACGTTTGTATTTTGAACAACTGGCTATATTTTTCATTCCAAACGATGCACTCGAGCACGCGCTCGAAGAGAAGCGAACGGAGAGCGCGATGCGTCATGGGATATCCGGCGCAAACAAAAACAGAAAGAAAAGATTTCCCGAGTTCGTGGAGTAGCAAGGCAGGCGTGGTTATGCGCTTTGCCCTTGGTGGCGTTGTCAGCCCTGTGGTGGTGTCAATAGCGTCAGCGCGTTACAACCGAGCCGTTTGAAGTGCCTGTGGGGTGACGAGCGTGTGGCTGGCCCAAGGAGCCCGTAGCTTCCACAACACTGTCAGCTTAGGGCTGAACGGGGTGAGGAAAGCAACGTTTGTTCAAGTTTTGAGCGACTGGCTAATCTTCTAGGGGAGAGTGGCTGTGTCCGGTTGCACGAACGAGGGTTCGAGAAAGAGGGGAGTCCTTCCTTTCCGTCTTCTTTGACCGTTTGGTAAAATGCGCGATTTGTGAGTTGTGGAGGAAAGCTAAGAGGGAAAATGTTGAAATGCCAAAGAGCGGCGCTGCTACGCAGAATCTGCTGCGTCACGACTACGTAGCAGATTCCACAACGTTGTTAGACTACCTCCCAAATAGGCTCCGCATGCATCCACCAGGTGTACATTGAAAAATCGTTTAGTTAGGTTTAAAATTAGTTTTCTTGTGCTTTCAACAGAAGACTGGTGTTTTCGAGGTTAGGGTGGAACATGCAACACATTTAAGCTAGAAAATGAGTGCTGGAATTTCGTTTCCCTACCCCTTTAAAATGCAATAGTCTATAAGCTTCCATTGCATGGCAAAAAACCCCATTATCTTTTACGGGGGAAAAAGCATCTGCCTCAAACACTGTCGTAATAGTTTAAATAATATTCAGTTCTACAGGGTCCGATCGAGAAAAGTAAACCCTTCTTTTCGGCCCGCGTAAAAAAACTACGCATCGCAGAACGCCCAAACTCGGCTAGAATGTAACCCTAGCGGTCGAAGCAAGATGCCAAAGTTTCAGAACATGAGTTTACCTGGATCGAAATATGAAAGAAAAAAACGAGAAATCTCTACGGGGAGGCTCCGACCACGGAGAGACGCAGACGGAGGACATCTGCTTTGCGTTGTATCGCATAGGTGGCGCCACCACCGGTGTTCGGGTTTGCGAAGAGCAAAGCAGACGACATCTGCTAAAATAATTAGCATGAAGAAATGTTATACCTGAGCAAATGCACCGAAGTATCACAAATTAGAGCGTGTAATTTTTATTTCCATTGCAGTGAAAAGCAGTGCGTAAGTGAAACTTCGGAAATGATAGAGAATAATTCCAAATTCGCCGCCAAGCCCGGCAGATGCCCGTGATACCGTGATACCCGCCAACCCGCATAGGTGGTGGCGCCACCTATGCGATGCAACGCAAAGCAAACGGCCTCCGTCTGCGCCTGTCCGTGGTCGGAGCCTCCCCGTAGAGATTTCTCGTTTTTTAGATGCGGAGCATCTCTTGCTCCGGTCTATGTCCCGCGGCGTCGTAGTCCGAACTCACACTACGCATGCGCAACTCTCCTCCTTCCCTCTCTCCAACAGCTGCGCGTTACTCTCTACGCTCTCTCTCTCTACCAGCTGCGTGCACTTCGCGTGCGTTCGCTTCTACTCACACCGCGCGCGCATGCGCAACTCTCCTCCTCTAGTCTCCTCTCCTTCAAGTGTGAATATAAGCAGCGGTAGCGCGCTGCGCGCGTTCAAGGGGAGAAAGTGGCCGAGTGGGCTAACGCGTCTCAGCTCGGAGCGTGGAGCGAAAGCTTGCGCTGGGAACCTCCTGGGTTCGAGCCCCGCCGCCCCCGCCCGTTTCGATCTGGATGAGCTTCGTACCGGCACGCGTTCGTGTGATCACTACTGCGTGATGCACGTTAAAAATCCCAGGTTAGCGGTTGTACTGCACTGGCTAAATTTCTCAGCTACGGCTAAAAGACCGATTACCCCTTGAGGCGCATCTTCATCAAGGCTGTATAAACATAAAAAAAAAAAACAATTTCTGCGCGCGTTCAGTTCACCGCTGTTGACTCCACTTCACCCCGTTCTTCCGATGAAGTGCGATGGAACGATGCTGCGCATCACCCCATGGTTCCCCTCGGGAAGATGGTGTAATGTTTTTTCTTTCATCTTTTGATCCAGGTAAGCTAATGTTCTGAAACTTTGGCATCTTGCTTCGACCGCTAGGGTTACATTCTGGCGGAGTTTGAGCGTTCTGCGATGCGTAGTTTTTTTATGCGGGCCGAAAAGTAGGGCTTACTTTTCTCGATCGGACCCTGTAGAGTAAGGCCTGGTGCACACTTGCGAATCGGCGGGCGAATCTGCAAGAATTCGGCCGCCGGGCGTACCGTCCACTGTGCATTGCCGCGGTCGATTCCGCTTCGGCGGCAGCAGATTAGCTGTAAGTGTGAACCAGGCCTGATGGTCTAACGAACGGCCTGCGATTTATCTGTCCTCCCAACGCACAGATAGCAGGTAAACTCGAAAACACTCCGCAGTCTAGAAGAAAAAGTTCACTGCTCCCTGTGTACGGCGTTTGCAAGTGCACCTGCTATGTCGGCCATGGGAGGACCGAGAAAACAGGGACAGCTTGTTATAGCTAACTTTGATTAAGGGCGTACAGTGCTCTTGCTTTATAAACACCGTGTTATAAGCTTTCCCGAGTAATCGGGAAAGCTTATAACAAATTGGCGACGAGGGTAAAACCTGTATTATCTTCTTACGGCAAGCATTAGTCGTGTTCAGCTCCACCATGCCGAAGTACGGGACCCTGGAAGTCTTTGACGGGGAACCAGCGGACTGGTTAGAGTACATGGAACGCACCGCGCTGTTCTTCGAGGCCAACAGCATTCCTACTGCAAAAAGAAGGTCAGTTTTTCTGACGTCCTGGGGTGCTAAAACGTACTCCATTCTGCGGAGCATTCTGACCCCCAAGGCTCCAAACGAAGTGAGCATAGAGGAGATTTTTGGCGCTCTCAGCAACCACTTCACCCCAAAACCCTCTGTGGTAGTCACCCGTTGCAAGTTCAACAGCCGATTTCGACACACGGGAGAATCAGTGAGCGACTATGTTGCCGCACTCAAGAAACTAACCGAGCACTGCGAGTACGGAACATTCCTGAATGACATGCTTCGCGACAGACTTGTCTGCGGCATCAATGACTCCCCAATGCAGACACGGTTGCTTGAAGAGCCCAATCTCACGTTCGAGTCTGCGATACAGCTTCTACTAGCGATGGAAACTGCGAAGAACGATTCAAACTTGCTAATGAAACAAGGAAAATGTCAAGTGGCGTCCGAAGCTATCAACGTGGCCAAAGAAGCTTCATCGAAAAGCATCACTTGCTATCGTTGTGGAGGGCCTCATTATGCGTCTGTGCGCAAGCACTCGAAAACAAAGTGCAACGCATGCCACAAGACGGGACACTTTGCCAGTGTGTGCAAATCAAAGAAGCAGCAAGGCCAATCCAACAATTCCGGACAGAAGAAAAACGCTCACAAGCGTCCTGTCTATGCTGTTGACAATTCCGAACAGTCGTCCACGAGTCAGCCACCCGTGACGTACAACATGTGGTCACTGAAATCCTCCATATCATCACCTCCATATGTTACTACTTTGGAAGTGGCGGGGAGACCACTTCGGCTAGAAGTGGATACCGGAGCCAGCGTCTCCATCATCGGACAAAGAACTTTCGTAGAAGAATTTCCAGAGCTTCAATGTGAACCTTCGGATGTCATCCTAAGAAGCTATCGCGGTGACCTTTCTAAGGTTCAAGGAAAGGTTGTCGTACCTGTTCGATTTCTAAACAAAGAAGCAACGCTTCCTTTGTATGTCGCACGTGATCAGACTCCTACACTCCTTGGAAGAGATTGGATCAACGCCCTTGGAATAAGTTTGGCCGATGTGAAAGAAGTTACCGCTGCATCCAGCATGGAAGGAATTCTGAAAAATCACAAGGAAGTTTTTTCCGACGGACTAGGAACGCTGAAAGGTGTGAAAGCTAAGATCACCATCCCAGAGGGAGCGCGGCCCAAGTTCTTCAAGCCTCGCAAGATTCCGTTTGCGTTACAGGACAAGGTTGCTCAAGAACTGCAACGACTTCAGCGCGATGGAATTATCTGTCCTGTGAGAACATCCGAATGGGCAGCACCAATTGTGCCTGTTCTAAAGCATGACGGCCGAGTGCGGATCTGCGGTGATTTCAAGGTTACTGTAAATCCTGTAACCATTCTCGAGAAGTACCCGGTACCCAGATTGGAAGATCTGTGGGCCAAACTTTCAGGAGGCGTCAAGTTTACCAAACTGGACCTGAAGGACGCATACCAACAGGTGGAGCTCGAGCCTGAGAGTCAGATGATTGTCACCATCAACACTCCAAAAGGACTTTTTCAGTATACCAGACTACCATTTGGAGTATCCTCGGCTCCTGCAATCTTCCAGAGAGAAATGGAAAACCTACTGCAGGATATGCAACACGTCGTCGTATACTTGGACGATATTCTCGTGACTGGACTCAATGACAAAGACCACCTAAAAAAATCTTGAACAAGTGCTGCAGCGTCTAGAGGACGCAGGTCTCAAGCTCAAGCTTGAAAAATGCACTTTTATGGCCCCTGAAGTGGAATACCTTGGGCATGTGATTGAAGCCGGAGGACTGAAGCCAACGCCACGCAAGGTAGAAGCTGTCCTAAATGCGCCTCGACCAGTTGACCTCAAGCAGCTTCAAAGCTACCTTTGACTCGTCAACCATTACCGGCGTTTCCTTCCCAACTTGTCTTCAGTACTTCAACCGTTGTACCACCTGCTCGCTGCGAATACATCACGGCGATGGGGGCAACAAGAGGAGAAGTCTTTTCACAAGAGCAAAGAGCTCTTGACATCTGCAGCAGTACTTCAACAGTTTGATCCTAACAAAGAGATCATCCTCAGCTGTGACACATCTCCTTACGGACTCGGCGCTGTTCTTGCCCATCGAGATTCAAGGGGACAGGAACGTCCCATAGCCTTCGCCTCGAGAATCCTCCTACCAGCTGAGCAAAATTACAGTCAGCTTGATAAGGAAGCCTTGGCACTCGTTTTCGGAGTGACGAAGTTTCATCAGTACCTTTGGGGTAACCAGTTTGAAGCCGTCACTGACCATAAACCTCTCCTTGGACTTCTGGGCCTTGACAAGGCCATTCCAGAGAGAGGATCACCTCGAGTCATAGGTTGGGCAATTACACTAGCAGCGTATAAGTACAAGCTGGTCTACCGACCCGGCCCGAGCATAGGTAACGCCGATGCGTTGAGTCGCTTACCGTTACCAGTGGACAACTTCCAACTTCCGCGGCCAGCTGATGTACTCATGTTGGAAGCGGCGTACCCTGCTGTTCTCTCCGCCGCAGTCGTTGCATAGCATACCGCGACTGATCCAGTGTTGTCACGAGTAAGACAAGCACTGTGGTCCGGTATCGATCTCCCAGGAGGACCACAGCGGTCGCCTTTTCGAACAAAGCTGACGGAACTCAGCGTCCAAGAAGATTGTTTACTGTGGGGATCAAGAGTGATCATCCCACTCAGGTTACAAGAGCAAGTACTTCAGTTACTGCACGAAAGTCATCCAGGAGTGGAGAAGATGAAGTCCATTGCACGAAGTCACGTCTGGTGGGATGGGCTAGACCACAGTGTCCCGGCAAAGCTTCAAGATTGTCGCGAATGCCAAGAACATCACCGTTCCGATCGGAAAGTACAGTCAACCCCGTGGCCTTTCCAGAACGGCCATGGTCCCGCTTACATGTTGACTTTGGTGGTCCATTCCAAGGACTTTATTTCCTGGTATTGGTCGACGCATACTCGAAGTGGGTTGAGGTCATACCGGTATCGTCACCCTCTGCTGATGCTACGATCAAATGCCTTCGGAACATCTTTTCGACACACGGTCTACCAGATATTGTCGTTTCGGATAACGGTCCGGCCTTCGTAAGCGACAAGTACAGCGAATTCCTAAGCCGCAATGGGATCCGACGTATGCTGATTCCCCCTTACCACCCAGCATCAAACGGAGCTGCGGAACGCGTCGTGCAGACCGTGAAAGGAATGCTGAAGAAAGCGTCATCTGGAGATTTTCAGACCAAGATTGACAGGATGCTTCTGACATACAGAACTACAAAGCATTCACTAACAGGTCATAGTCCAGCTGAGCTGCTAATGGGCAGAAAGCTAAAGACAGCCCTAGACCTCCTACATCCGGACATGCGGAGTGGAGTACTCTGGAAGCAGATGAAGCAAAAGTTACGCTATGACCAAGGAGCACGCAAAGGCCCTCTACCTGAGCATGGTCAAAAAGTGTTTGCCTGAAATTTCAGGTCAGGGCCTCCATGGCTTCCTGGGGTTGTTATACAACCATCGAGTTCATCATTTGTGCAACTGGAACTGAAAGATGGGACTCGTTGGAACCGTCATGGTGACCATCTTCGAGAACGTCGTCGTCCACCTGTGACACCCTACAGAGAGCACGGGGCAACCGACTCCTCAGCTGAACGAGACAGGTCAACCGAATCTTCCTGGAACGAAGATCATCATGGACCAACAACAGCACACCATGACATAGGATTTCCTCGAACTCAGGAAGTTTCATGCCAGACGTTGCCAACCGTCCAGACTCCGAGTAGTCACCAAAAGCTACGCTCTACGAGAGTAAAAGAGCCCGTAGATCGTTACAAGCCTTAGGCCATAGTGACCCGAACTTTGACGTCTAGGTTTTGAGACAGTATTGTTGTTCCTTCGTATAAAAAGGGGAGGAGTGTGATGATGATGATGCTAGCGGCGCCATGCATCCGTGGCGCGAGAATAAAGACAAGAAGTGTCTGGCATCTCGAGCTGCCTGCACACGCACGCTGAGAACGATGGTGTTCATTTCTTCCTGTCCCCCGATTACTCGGGAAAGCTTATAACACACCGTGCACTGAAATGGAGCATGGTTGGTCGTTTGAAACTCCACACAGCGGTAGTAAAGTTTATAGGATGAAATTACGCTCCCAGTATGTTAGGAAAAAGTGAAAACAAAGCTAACCTCTAACAGGAGTAACGTAGAAGTTTGGGCTAGATGGTATTTCATGCTTAAAAACTAAAACAGCGCAGGGACACGGACAAGAACAAGAAGGTAGACGAACAAGGCGCTGACTTATACAACTAAAGTTTATACGTGCTAACATGAAGTATAAAAACTACAACGTCATGACACACAAATAAAGATAAAATACATGTAATGGACACCACGTCTACCTTCTTGTTCTTGTCCGTGTCCCTGCGCTGTTTTAATTTTTAATCTAACAGGAGCCTTGCCTTCGTGCTGACACCATCCGAAACGGTCCATTCGTCGCTTTAAAAAAAAAGGCACAATTTTTTCAAGTGGCTGCCCGATGTTCAGATGGCCAGGTGCCTCCAGCTCCTCGCACAACAAGATGCAAAACCCAAATGGGACTAGTAGCTGCTGGTAGGCGAGAGGAGGGCGAGCAGGCACATCACCGCACTCGGAGCTGCACACTTGGGCTCGATTTACAGCTCCCAACATTGTTACCAAGGAGGTCTTTCCGTCCAGCTGCTGCAAGCAGCTTGTGAATTGGTGCGCGGCGCTTTTCTTCTGGCTGATAGTGCGCTCCTTAGCCTTCCTGAGGTCCAGCCGACATGAGGGCGGCAAGTCTTGTCGTCCTTGGCCCACCTTTCGCCAATCTACACCCTGGACACTCGAACCTTTGATAACCTGGCCTCTCGGCCTTCTCCAACGCTGTGGCAGATCCGTGCACGACAGATGTGCTGGGGCCTCGGCGAATTCTTGCCTTCAATCAAAATGACCGTCTTCAGGGCGGCCTGGAGGTGGCTGCAGGCTTGCTTCCCAGCTGGGCACTCACAGTATCCATTAATAAGTTCACCGTCCTTGGTGATGGTGGCACTCACGGTGTAGGGAGGCTGCGTCTTCTTGTGGCTTCTGAAGCATCTGGCTCACAAGAAGCATCTCAAGGCCCTTTAAATGACAATGATAAGCGATGAGCACCTGTTCCCAATCATTACGGTCCTGACCATTTCATGCGAAGCACACTGCGCCATCTCATGCAGGGCACGGCGAAATGTGAGATACATTACCAGTACAAGGTATTTCTGGAAGAGCGGGCCAGTTTGAGAGCTGGTATACATGGCTGCGCGAGCAAATCGCTACACAGCTCCCGATTTGGGCGAGCCTGTTCTGCGGCGCAAGCCAAGTGACGCCTGGCGTCGTTCGAATTGAGGCGCTTAGTTTTGTTTTCACAGGGGCACGCAGCTCAGGTTGCATCGCCCGGCTAGCTCTCGCGTGCAAACATGTCGTAAAACTGGGCGCGCACGTGGCGAGCGACAGGATATACCATCGCTCGTCGCGTTGCTCGGTTCTGGATTTCTCGAAAACTTTTCTCACCGCCCGGAAGTCGCTTGGATGCAGTCTGCCCCAGCGAGGGACAGACGACGGACAGTCCAAACGAAAGTGAGTCCTCGTCGAGTCGCCAGTGCAAGGCAACCGTCACATGTGTTCACCCGACGACGCTTCAATGTTAATCTCAAGATTCGTGCTTCCGAAAAAAAAAGCTTAAAATTAATTACTTTTTTTTTTGGTCCTAGTTGGTGCATACCGTCGACGCCACTACGTAGCTCTCTATACTAAAGGCCCGTTCACACTCTTGCGACCGAGTACGACCGGGAGAGACCAGACCAGTTTTTAAGCCTTTTGCGACGTCTTAGGACCGGATGCATTGCAAAGGAGCTGGACTTAAGATATCGCAAGAGGCTTAAAAACCGCTCTGGTCTCTCTCGGTCTTACTGGGTCGCAAGAGTGTGAACGGGCCTCAACTTGTAGCTCCGGAGAGCTCCCTTCTCGGTTCCCGAGCAGGACGCCAGTCGGGCAAGGTCCGCAGACGAGATTCGCGGCGGCCGAGCCAAGTCGCTCGTCCATCCCGTCGTGGGGTAGACGCCGTCGCTCATGACGAAGAAACTGTTGTTGAGCGCGTTGGCGGTTACCTCACGGTGCGGAAAGAGGCGCCAAGACCGCTGACCTAAACAAGGAGATTCCTATTCCTTGATGCAGTGCAAATCGAAACTGACGAAAAGTTCGCCGTCAGGGTGTGCAATTGTGCATGGGGTCCATTGAAACATCTTTTGCTTCACAAATTAAAATTATAGTATTTATATTATTAAACTGACTTATTCTAATGTTCATTCTATCATATTATGTCCCACTGGCCTTAAAGGAGCTGTGCAACGATATTCAATTGGAATGTTTTTCTCTCTACACTAGCTTACTGGCACACCTCGGACTCAAGGATACTCACACGCAACACCATTGGCCAAGAAACTCCTTTGTTGTGGTGTAA